GAAGAATCGCCCTTACCAGAGGTAGTATAACATAGTGTTTAAAAATGCAGACTCTGTAAGCAAATTACCCTTCCTAAACCTCAGTTTCCTCTCTTGTAAAATGGAGGCAACAATAGCGTCCTGTGAGAATTAGAGACCATATGTGAAGCACTTAAAATACTACAACAAATACTTCAAGGTAAATTGCATGCTTGCATTCTTGAGCTCATCTCCTTCTTGTTCAGGATTTCACCAGCATTCTCTATCACTCCCTCCCCAAATGCTAACATATATACCAGTTTCTCTCACCTTCAAATAAAAACAAAAATGTCTTCTCCAATCTTGAATCCCCTTCGTGCCACAGAAGTATATCTTTTTCCTTTATTTCCAAGTTTCTAGAAAAAAATAATCTCAGAAAAAGCCTTCTGTCCTTGTTATTCTTTTTCCATGCTCTCCCATCTTCTACCCTCCCACTGAAACCACTAAAACATAAGTGACCCTTTAGCTGTCAAATCTAATACTTTTCCGGTACCTTATTTGACTTTTCTATAGCCTGACACATTTATGGCTCCTCTTGAAACTCCTTCCTTTCTCAGCTTTTCAGACATTAGAGTGCCATCCTTTCTACCGGGCTCCTTCCTTCTTAATCTCCTTTACTCACTTCTCTCCCTCTGCTCTCCCCCTACACACTGTTGTCCACTCTCTCCCCCAGTTCTAATTTCAGTCTTATTTCCACTCAGCCAACCCTACTTCAATCTTACTCCTAATCATTTTCAATGGGTGGACTCATCTACTTTTTTTAAAACACCTTCTTTGAGGTACAACTGACTTACAATATATTGCATATATCTGAGCTGTACACTCTATTAAATTTTAACATATGTATGTGAATATAACCCTGAAACAATGGGCACAATCAAGACAAATGAACATGAAAGAACTCCCCCCTGAAACAACCACTAACCTGCATTTTGTCATGATAGATTAGGTTTGCATTTTCTAGAATTTTATATGAATAGAATTATAAGCATATACTTCTTTTTCAGTCTGGTTTGTTTCCTTCAGCTTAATTATTTTGAAGTTAGCCATGTTGTCATGTGTATCAATACTTCATTTTTCCTATTTCTGAGTAGTATTCCAATATATGGCAATACCAAAATTTGTTTATTCACTCACCTGTTGATGAACATTTGGGTTGTTTCTAATTTTTTTTTTTTTCTGAAGAAAACTACCATGAACATTCATGTGTAAGCCTATGTATGGATACAGGCTTAATCTATTCTTATGGCTTTACCTAGAAGTCACAAATCTGCTTTGCCAAATACCAACAACCAACTGCCAGTTCGAAAAGTCTACCCGGATAACCCAAAAAGGCTTTCAGATCAACATGTCCACAACTCACCTTGTTATGCTGCTCTATCCATCCCAGCAACAGGGTTTCCTCCTACATTTCTATTCTGACTAAAGGCACTCCAACCAAAAGCTTAAGGCTTTCTGCTCTCCTACCACTTCTCCCAATCACTCAGTGAGTCTCTCAATTCTGCCTTTTAATTATCTCAAATAAAATTCATCCCCATACTTCCATCCTAGTTCAAATGCACTCTTCGTTCAAATGCATGTCACTTCTTCGCTGGGCTACTAAACTAGCCTTCTAACCCTTCTCCTCACCTAGGGTCTCGTCTTCTCCAATCCATGTTCTATTCCATGGCCAAAGTGAATTTCCTAAAATTCAAATCTTAGGTTACTCCCTATTTAAAATTCCTCAATGACTTCTATCCCCTAAAGATAAAAATTCAAACTTCTTAGCTTAACATACAAAAAATTCTTTATAAACCAGTTTTCTCTCCACACTCATCCTCTGCCACCTCCCATCATATTCTAACTTTGTCACTTCTGGATCATGTCCTTTACCTTTTTATCCTTAGTGCTGAGAGCAATACTTGGTCTTTAACAGGCATCATGATATATTTGTGCAATAAATAAGATAGAACTTAAGAGTGGTAGATATGGAAAGACATTCTGGGCATATTCAGGAAAAGTAGTCCAGACTGCTGAAGCATAAAGAATATAAAAGATTATAACAGACAATCCAGTCTGAAAACCAGGATGAAGCTGTATTATCTATCACCATCAATCCCATGCTAAAGAGTATGCACTTCATCCTATGCCAAAAGATAGCAATGGTTCTGAACAAAAGGGTGACAAGTTCAGAAGTGTACTATAACTTCTGAAATTTAAAAAAATAGATAAAGCAGAGGTGAGGGGCAGTGAACTCAGTTAAGAGGCTGTTCCAATAGTCTGAGAAAGGGAACTCAGAACATTTCACCTAAGAGGGAATAGACTAAAAGAACATGTCAAAGGGGAGTGAATCTACAGACTCTGCCTGGGTGTGGGCAGTAATGCAAAGAAAGACCTTGGAGATGACTCCAAAGTATTGAATCATTCAAATAAAATACAGTAATAAAGCCATTAATCAAGAGGAAATTTATATCATGGTAGGTAGAAGGGATTAGAAATGATGACTTTAGTTTGGGTATTCCCTTACCCCTTCATTCAAATTTAAGTGCCTAATAAGTGGTAGGCGCTGCATGGATGGAGGATAAAATCAGGGTTTAAATGTCATCTCTGTTTTCAAGGACCCTCCAGCCTAGTTCAGGAGGAGTAGGGGTTGAGGGGAGGGGGCGTAGAATTATATAGAAAGTTAAAATTCATTGTTAAGTGCTAGACTAGGGTGCTAACAGAAAATAAAGATTTTCCAACTCAGCACTGATGATTTGAGAAAAGATATGGGGTTTAATTAGTCCAGAAGGATGAGCAGTGTTAGGCCAGGCAAAGGGCAGTCCAGCTGAAAAGAACATTTCCAAAGGGTTTCAGGTAACGCAACACAAGTTGGGTGCATCTGCACACAATGCAGTAAGTCTAAGGGAAGAATTTGAGATATGGAGATAGCTACTTGAAACGTCCAGCAGCCAGGTGAAAATGCAGGTTTTGAGCTACCGAGAGCAGATCCAGATGTGAAATATATTTTCAACCTTGTTTTAGGTGGCTTACAATTATTGTTAGTGGACATTTTAAGTAAGATTTGGAAGAACCTTACATATCAGCTAGATTGTGAACACTTCCACATCCTCTCATCACTTTTACTGTCCTCCAAGGGTATCTCTGCTTAAACCATAACTGTAAATAAGCAAAGAGAACTGGTAGGAACTGTGGTGAACTGGAATTACTACATGCTATGTCTAAAAAGGACAGTTGTAGCAGTTTACTTCCTTGCTTGAAAGTGGGCCCACTGTGGAGAGAGCTTCCTATTCTTTAAGAAAAGCTCAAAATTCAGATTTTATGTAAAATGTCCCATTTTTAAATATTGGCAACTAATTACATTAAAATTAAAATAACACAGTGCCAGCCAAACAAAATTCTTCTGTGGACAGATTTCAACAATGGCCACCAGAGTAGAGCAGTTAGACCTTGTCTGCCAACTCCTACAATGCTCTTTTCACTGCTTCCTAAGCCCTTCAACTGATAGGGTAGCTTGGTGGTTCCCCTGGGATAGGCACTGCTTGCTTCCAAACAAAATAGCCCCAAGTTGACATGCTCTATGAGTTCTTCTGTATAGTAACAATTTTTCTGTCTCCTCTGTACCTTGATCAGGATACCAATCAGGTCTAGCATCACTGAGTCCTTAGTCACCTTTTATTAGAAGCTAACATGTCAACCTTATGGGTAAAACAAAAGTCAATAAAGTGAGAGCCTGATGGGATTTCTAATGAATAAAGTATATAAGGCATATAGCATCTCTTTGGTTTTCTCTGAAAACAATATCACAGAGATGTCTGTGACTACCCAGACATCCAGACACCTGACAGTAAAGGTCGCAAACTTTTATCTGAAATATTTGAGCAAATTCTGCTAACAAACCAGTTTCCACTGTAATGCACCAAGAGGGGGAGAGGGAAACCAGGGCAAAAGGGAAAGTAAAAGTTGCTGGCCTTTGAGAAATATCAGACACCTTTTAAGACACAATTTTTAAAAGGATAAATGTTTAGAATAAAAAGAACACCCACAGTCTCAACTTTCAGTAGGAGTAAAAATATATTTTCATCAGAAAACATGAAACATTGTTTGAGCAACACGAAATTGGGATTTAGAAACACGATCAAAAGAGTAAAGCAATAAAAAAGGGAGAAGGAAAACAAAAAAATACTCTGGTTGTTTTTAATGTTCATTGAGACCAGATTCTGATATTTCAATGTATTTAAGTCACAATGTTGCTTTTGAAGCTTTTAAAATGTATCAACATTTCCTAAAACATTTAGAAAGTACAGACCGTGTTATAACTTTAGATAACAATGTGGCAAACTGGAACACACACACACACACACACACACACACACACACACACACACAGAAAGGTTAACATTTCTAATCCATAAACCAAACGATAATACAAAGATTCTCAGACTCCAGAAAGAAAAGAATGGCATGTGCACCCGCCCCTGTTCATCGGAGTGGGGGAATTCGGGGCAATGAAGAGTGATTACAGAGGGTGAGCAAAGCAAGCCATATTTCTGCTGGCAGGCGAGCCCTGCAATTACTTAGAGCATGCATTATGGCCAGAGCACTCTCGAGCCCACTAAAACGAACAGGCTGGTCACCTAAAAGCGGAGGCTGACAGCAGCTTCGGGGCAAGACCGAGGAGGCGGAAAAGTGGCCTCCTTTGACCTCCGCTGAAAACTAAGGCTCCTCCAACTCTGGTCAGTGAATCAGGGGGAGGGCATTAACCTGTCAGTGATTGTATTATTCGGACAAACTCTCCCTGGGTTCCTGCGGCCTTCCCACACACCGGGTGAATGTCAACACCGAGGCCAGCGAGTGTCGGGGAACCGCTCAGTGTGCGCCCTCCTTTCTGGGAGGCGGTTAGACCGGGAAGAAAGACGGCCCCGCGCGCCCCGCCTCCCCAGCCCCGGCCCGGTGCCCTCGCAGGGGTTGCAGCGGGGAAGCAGGGTCCCGCGAGCTCTCACCTTTTTCAGGGCAGGCACTAGCAGCCCCCGCCACTTGGACACGTTCTCCTCGCTGAAAAACTCGTACGGCAGCTGCTGCGCCTGCATGGTGCCCCCGGGGTGCCTCTGGGAGGGGAGGGGGCGGCGGCGGCCGGGCCCGGGAGCCGCGAGAGGGCGAGCTCGCAGCGCCGAACAGGGCCGCGGCCCCACCACACGGCCCGGCCCCCTCCGGGTGCTGCGCTGCCGGGCTAGCCCCGGAGAGGGGGCTGGGGGGCGAGGCCCGCGTCCGGCCACCCACCCGACACAGGTACCAGCCGCGGAGAGCGAACGCAGCCCGGAGGCGGCGGCGGCGGCATCCCGCACCACCGCCCCGGGGCTGGGCCCCCCACCCCTTCCTGGCCCGCCGGCGCCGCCCCGGGTTGCCCTCCGCCGCGGCCGCCGCCCGCCTGCTCGCTCGCCCGCCCGCCCGCCGGGGCTGCGTTCCGGGCCCGGCCTGGCCCCGCGGCGGAGCCGGCGGCTGGGGGAGGGCGTGTGAGGGACGCTCCGGCCGCGGCGCACGATCAGCGCAGCCGGGACCGCGAAACGCGAGCGACTCCGAGTAGGGCGGAGTTGGGGCCGGGGTCTAGGGGGGAGGGGAAAAGCCCGAGGTCGTTGTTTGGGAATCTGGCTGCCCTGAGGTGCCGCCGCGGCCGCCGCAGACGCCGGTGTAGCGCTGGAGCTTCCTACTAGCGAACTGAACCTGCTCGCTACTGAGCATGCGCCGCCGGGCAGGGCCAGTTCGCTCCGGGTTTTCCGGCTCCCCGGCGAGGCGGAGGGAAGCGCGAGGGCGCGCGGTGAGGCTGTGGTGCGCCCCCCAGGGCTGCCAGGGAGGGGTGAAAGCGCTGGGAGAACTCGAACCCTGGGCCGAGTGGGGCCTGCGGTGTGGAAGGCGGGGCGGGGCAGTCTGGATGAAGCGGCCCCCATTGTGCAGGGCCGCAAAGGATCCCACCCCTCTCTTGGAGTCCCAGTGCTTTTCTTTTCTGAAAGGGGTGTGTATGTGTGTACTTTGCTCTGAACATGAAGATAAGGACTGCCCAGAGCATGCAGTGTATAGTAAACAGACTGGACAAAAGAGAGGTAGCTTAGTATTTGTGGGGTAATAGAAGTGATTGCAATGGTCCCAGTCGGTTTGCACGGCATCAAGAATAAATTGTGTGTGTGTAACACTGATTTTATGTGTGCGTTTAATATTCAACATGTTCGTCTTTCAAACCCACTTCAAACATGAACTCCAGTTACCTCCAGTGGAAACTGAGGCCTCGTCTGCAGCTCCCAAATCCCACAGCACTTCACTCGTGGGCATTTCGTTCAATAGCTTCTCTTTTAACAAGGTAACAAACTCTTGGAACGCAGACCTTTTTCACCAGGAGCTCTATACAGAACGGGCACTTAGTGAAAGTCTGTGGAATGGTAAAGGGGCATTACTGTAACTTGTTCCTCCATCCCAGGGATGCAAGTGTTTGTTTACAATAACGGCACTGTGTGGCTGGCTTGTTATGATTTACCATTAAGCATGTTTTGAGCATAATCTCATTTAATCCTCATAGCAATCCTGTCGTCTTCATTTCACCGATGAGAAGACAATTTGGAGAACCAGCCTGGGTTGAAGTTGACCTAGTGCCTTGCTATTTGAAGAGACCAATAACCAGGAACACAGAGATGAGAAATGTTTAAATGGTGCTTTTACATCTCTACAAGACCTCTTTGAAAAATCTCATAAAAGTCTTAGGTCCTTTCCTTTTACAATGTGCACATATGATTTACATTCAGAATTCTCCACACTTTCAAAGTGTTCAGAATGACATTTTGGAAGTCATTCATAAATCCTCTGTGGAACCGCAGTTTAGGGAGGAGTCGGGGACAGGAGAAGGGTCTCGGGAAAACATGTCAGCCATCTTCAAATATATAAAGGACTGATAAGGAAAACCACATGATATGTTTGTGTGGTCCTAAACAATTGAACTTCTTGAATTAAAATCAAGCTTCTGCCTCAAATTACTCCTTGGTTTCCCATTATTCTTTCCAAACTTACCATGGCCCACAAAGCCTATGTTTGGCTCCTGTTTATATTCCCGGTCTTTTTTCACCATTCTCGACCTTGGCTCACCACGCTCATCACACTGGCTTTCTGTTCCTAGCAAACACCAACTTCATTCCTGCCTCAAGGGCTTTGCTCTTCCCACAGCCTGGAACTCACTGCGCGCCCATCGGTTCACTTGGCTGCTTATACACCTGGCTGGTTATAAGGGTCACCACCTCCAAGAGACCTTCTCTGATAACTCTAAGTCGTTCCCACTTACACATTTCCACCATAAATATTGGCTTATTTCCTTGCTAGCATAAATCACGGCCTCTCATTTTTAGTTGTGGGTCTATCCCCACTAGAATGCAAACTCGAAGAGATCAACGATCTGTTGTGTTCACTCTAGTTCATCATTGTATCCCCAGAACCTCCAGTGCTTGACTCACAGTAGGTGCGCAGTAAAGAATTCTGCAGGAATGAAAGCTGAATGTAGGAAGCTTCCAGGAGGACTACCTAATCAGACTTCTTCCAGGGAACAATCTTTGGAGGTGTGTAACTTAAAAATAAAAAAATTAAAAAAAAAAATACATTCACTCGGGACGTCGGGGAGGGTTAGGTTGGCCTTGACCTACAAGGTCCCCTTCAGCTCGAGCCTCTGATATGACTGCAGGGGTAAGCATGCCCTAGAATTACAGTCTGGGCTGGGCCTGCTTAGAGGCTGGGGCAGGTTTTCACTAGTATGGACGTTTTGGCTGCAGACGGAGAGCAAGAACCTGGAGGGATATTGCAGAGACTGGACACTTCTCAGCTGAGAAACCTAAGGGGAGTGTTCCTGGGCTCTGCACTGCTAAGGTCAGGGAGGAATCGAGTCCCTCTGCACCGTTTGCCTATATCTCTTGGGACAAATCAAAACACCTATAGCTGTGCTGCAAGGAAGATAACTGTGGCCGACTCAGGAATGTGCTGGTGGAGAGTCGAAAGCCCCAGGGGCCGCTCAGCGTTAACCACCGGACTGCAGCCCTGCTACGCAGGCGCAGTTTCTATTTGCGCCCCTCCTCGGCTCTTACCAGCCTGGAGCCACAGCGGACGTGACGCACGGGCGCGGGCCCAGGCGGCGTAGCCGAGGCCCGAGGGGGGCGTGTCCAGGAGGGCTAGGCGAGTTCCGAGCGCGTCGCGTCGGAACCCGAGCGGCAGGGAAGGGGGTGGGGAGGACGTTTCGCCGGGCGGCGCGCCCCCTGCAGGTGGGAGTGCAGCTCCCCCTGCAGTCGGTCGCAGCTGCAGGGCTTCCTGCCTGGCTGCAGCCACAAGGATCTTCCTGAAGCAAACTTCAGATCCTATTCAAGAGCCTCCACTGCCATCCCAGGATGGGGTACAAAGTCCTTGGCTTGGTATTCATGGCCTTGCACAATAGGGCCACTACTTATCTTTCCAGCTTTATCTCTCACTCAACATGAATTACTGTCTCTTTCCTGCCTATGCAGTTTCGTCTGCCTGGAATGTCCATAACAAGTTTTTTTCTTCAATCCCACCCGCTACCGATTCACCCCACCACGATTATACACGCTCATTGTGGAACTATTGTCCACGCTGTCTTCCCAGGTCAAATGCCACGTTCTCTCTGAAGTCTTTCTCAGATCCCATTTAGGATTCCTACCCCCATAAACTTCAGAACCTAACAGGCATAAAAACGTTAGTATCAGCCATCAGCTCACATAATCAAGAATTACTATCCAGGCTCTGGCTGCTGTGGCTCAGTGTTGATTGATCCCCAGCTTGAGAGCCAAAGGTCTCTGGTTCAATTCCCAGTCAGTGCACATGCCTGGGTTACCCATCAGGTCCCCAGTTGAGGGTGGGTGAGAGGCAACCAATGGGTGTTTTCTCTCCTTCTCCCTCTCTCTGAAAATAAATGAAATCTTTTTTTTTAAGGGACAGTTATCTACGAACCGGGAAGCAGACCCAGAATCTATTGGTGTCTTGACCTTGGACTTCCCAAGCTCAAGAACTGTGATAAATACATTTATGTTGTTTATAGGCCACCCAGTCCAAAGTATTTTGTTATAAAAGCCCAAACGAATAAAGACTCCTCAATATAAATGAATCTTAAAAAACAATAACACTGATAATATGGAAAGGTGACTTGAGAACTCCCAAAGCGGGGAGGGGAAAGAACATTGAGCAAGACAAGGAAACTAGCCACTAAATAATTCATTTTATAAAGTGAAAAAACAAAACAAAACAAATAGAACTGAGTTATGTAGTATTTATTGTGATAAATAAATCCATACAACTTCAAGATAGTACAATGGGCTTTACCTCCTGGTATTCCTGTCCTGGTATAGACACCACTCCCACACTGAATAAATAATCGTATTCAATTATCGATCTGCAAAATAGGGTTTTGCAGAAATTATGTATGTGGTTTCTGAGACTAAGTTTTAAAAGACATTGTGACTTTAGTCTATTTCTCTCTTGGACCTCTCATTCTGGGAGGAGCTACTGCCAGGCTGTGAGGAAACTCAAGCTCCCTGCCATCAGCCATGTGGATAGAACATCTTGGAAATAGATCTCTCCCCCCCAGTCAAGATTTTAGATGACTGAACTCTGGTTAGTATCTTGACTGCAACCCTTTTAGAGTTTCTGAGCCAGAGCCACTCGTATAATTCATTTCTAAATCCTAGACTATCAGAAACTGTGAGATAATAAATGTGTGTGTGTAGTTTTAAGCCACTAAGTTTGGGGGTAATATACAACATTAGAAAACTAATATTTTTATGGATGACATACATAAGTGGTAAAATTATATAACAAAGTATTAAATTAATACCAAATTCATGAAGGATATAAGAGATGCTGAGAGATCTTTGAGCTATGTCATGAATTGCAGGGGAAAAAACTAGTGTGGAAGAGTGTTTGTAATTGGGAGGTTTTATACAAGGGCCTATTGAGATATTTCTATTTCTAACCAAAGTAGTAGGTACACAGCTGTTTGTCTTACTATTTAAAAATTTAAACACATACAAATTTTTTTGTAAATGTATTATGTTACACACTACGCACAAAGGTGGGGTGGTGGCTACAAGGGGCCAATATATATAGAAAAAAGTGGACTCAGACCATTCTGAATAACACTTGACAGTCTCAGAAATGAACTTAAGAAATAGAATCTACCTGCTCTCAATTACAGGTCAGAGTTGGAAGAAGCTAGAAGTAAATACAAGTAGACAAACCATAGGAAACTGACTACCAGTTCTCTTTTTCACCTCCTCTCTCCAGCATCTAAAAGCTGAAGTTTTCAAAGCTTCTCAGTCTCAGATACAAAGGGCTAGAAAGGCAA